GAAGAAGTGAGGCAAACTGTCAGAAGGCAATGAAATTAGTTCTGATGTGGTTTTGCTTTTGCATCAGAAAATCTTGAAATAAGCACTCAAGACACATGGTTACCTTTTTCAAAGCTGCCCAGCCTTTCTCCTTCATTGCTGACTCTCTCAGTGTGAGAATGGTAGAAAGACATCATTTTGCAACAGAGGTCATACTGGAAAGAATGATGCCATGCATGACTAATGAAGTCCTCTGATTCAGGGGGAAATTTTGATTTACATTTCAAATCAATATCAATCTCTACCCAAAACAGGTTTTGAGCAAAGAAGAAAGTGAACTCTGCATTTCCATGGAGATAGTTTATGAAGCATAACATACAATGGCTAACATTTCATATGCTATTTCTTATACCAAAGTGCATGTTACTCCTTGCTAAAAGAGCACAGCAATTCATGAAAGCAATTTGTATTTTTCTGCAGGTTCCATATATATCTAAAAAAGTGATGTTATTTATTATCCAATTATTGACATTACTTTATATAGTAAATTCTCTCTTACATACAATTGAGATAGATTGTAGTCCTAAATGCAGAATACTTTCCCTAATAGCTTAAAAGGAAAAAAGCAAGGGAAACCTATCACTTACAAAACTTTCTCATTAACACTTTTAGCTATGAAAAGTTTGGTTAGTGTCTCTCCTTCACAGTTTGATTTTTGTTTCCCATGCAGGGTATAAAGCTGTCAGCCTCTGTTATTGTTCATGAAAAAAACTATTTTGGTTTTTTTGCTTTTTTTTGTATTCATAGTCTCTGCCAAGAACAGGTTCTTAGTGCTCAGCACAGCTGAAAGGGATGGGCTCTAGCAAGGAGTCAAATACAAATGGTTATACCAAAATTGATGCAAATCCATGTGGACATCACCTCTTTTATGAGAGAAGAAAAACACACTGAATGAGCAGCAACAACACTTTGGGAGTAGTTAGAAACATTTTCTCTGCTCTGGCAAAAAAATAAACAGAAAGCAGTCCCTCATTCGAACCAATGCCCAAATTCCCAACAGCAGAGCAGGTAACTGAAGTTTATGCCTCTATTGAATTGTGGGAATGGATGCATTTTGAGACAAGCTGACATGAATTAGTGACAAGAGTGTGTCTTAGCTTGTGTCTTATTTTTGCTAGTCATGCCAATCTGGCAGACTGTGCCTGAGCTGGATTCTGTCCTCGCTCATAACAAAACTGTTAACACAGCTGCAGCTGCCAGTCCAGATGTGCCTCCACAGTCTCTGTGCAGTTCCACCATAGCCTTCCCTTTAGGGATATCCAAGGAAAGAAAAAAGTGATAGGAACTGAGGCATCTGATGGCAATGAAGTTGCAGAAATGGTAAAGTAGGAAAGATTTTGCCCTGCTAGAATTTTTGTTACAGATGATGTTACTTGTGCCAGAATAAAAATGGATTTTCAGATGCTAACACTGGCAGTAGCTGAAAGCAATGGCCATTAGGAAATTCCTAGCACATTTTACCTCTGACCTGTGTAAGCAGATACTCCAAACTGTCACAACGTTTCTTTCACTGGTACAAGTTTCAAATCATAAGTGTTATTTAAACCTGGAAGCATACACACTGCTGATTGCATGTGAGGTGCCTTCTGCTGCCTGCCTGCACTTCAGAGCTTTTCGTTTCCACAGTGGGGTGCACTCTCCAGGTATGAGTATCACATTAAATCCTAGTAGAAGATTATACAGATGACATAAAGTACTAAATTACTGAGGAATGTGCTATGTAGAAAGAGGAAAAATATGAAGAAAAATGGCACAAAAAATATCACATAAAATTTCTCATACAGTAAGAACTTCCCCAAAACCTGTAGTTATTCTTTCCAAAGACTAAAAGGTGCTTTGACCCTGTCTTCAAAGGTAAACCCCAGAGCAACTCATAACAAACCACAGTATTTCCCTCTCTCCATAACTTTTTGTCAGGAGTGCAAAAGACATGAAAGCTGCCACTCTGGCCTGACGTGTCTTTGGAATAGTCATGGGTGCAGAATAAGGACATAAAAAGTATTAAACTGAATTCTGTGATTTAGACACAGAATCGAAGAGAATAAAGCATGGAGATGAAGGATTAGATCTACACTACACTACTGTATTTAACAAAAACACATATAAAAGACAAAGGAAGAAGCAAGTCACCTTTGTTTGACAGCAACTACACACAGCTGTTTTCTTTTCTGAAGGAAAGGAAGGGAAGAATAGGAGTTTGTTTGTTTTTTGGGTTGTTTTTTTTTCCCCAAGTGAAACTGCAAGTGGAAATTTGAGATAAAGATAACTTAATTATACAAGTGGATTTTCACTCTGACAGAAAGGTTAATGATCCAACATTTGGAAGTATGCCAGGACACATCAGTGACCATAAGCAGTCATAAATTTGGTTTTACATTCAAGTGAAAGAAGCCCTGCAGTATAGTATCTCTTGTCATTCTGGTGAAACATTGACTATGTGATGAGTTGGGAAAAATAAAACCTTTGTATTCAATAACATCCTTTCCTGTGAGAGCTGAGTTGAATCTGGAGATCACCCACGTGAATCCCAATAGCAATCCTATTTCAGTTCTGATATTGTATCATTATTATAATTTTCTTGCTGGGTTTGTTCTTTATATTCAGAAATACAGCACTCTACATGGATAGATGTTCTGCCTCAAGTTGTGTTAATCTCAATAGTACATGAATTCATTTGTAAAGGGGACAGAGAGAAGGGACTAAGGCCAGCTACCATACTGGAAGATACACACTACAGCATTATCTGGAAACAGTGGAGAGGGGAAAACATTCCAAGAATTATTTAATTTTTTTTTAAATATTGAAAAAACTAAGGCCAGCTATTCAGAGTGAAGTTGGTGAGAGGAGAGGAAAAAAGTACTGTCACCGTGGGTGTAGATGCTGTTCACAATAAAAAAAAAAAAAAAAAAAAGTAGAGACCTGAAAAATGCCAAGGGAAAAACCAGCATGTTTAGAGCAGGGGAGAATAAAGAGTAAGCTGACAGACCAGACAAGAAAAATGGATCAGTCAAACACAGGAATTAAAAGAAGAGTAAAACCCAGAGAACTCTGTGAGTTTAACATACCTTTTAAAGTGTCTAGCTTGACAGAACCTTAGGAGAAAAAGATTACTTCAGTAAGAAATACTGACGACCCTTCCTGCTGCACAAGGAGTCCAACAAGGAGGCCTTGGCATGTTGGACCTGGGAGGGACCTCTGAACAGGCCTGGGAATGACATAAAGAAAGGCACAGGCTTAGATTAAAAAAACTGCATAGTACTAGCCTGAAAATCCCAAACCAGACCATTACAATACAGATAGAAAGACAGATAGATCAGAAACTGCAGATAAACAGGAACTGATTTCATTAAATAAGCACTCAGCCTATGATAAGCAGGATATTGCTTGGGCAAACAGTGCACAAGCAAAACCTTTTCAAGAACAACTATATTCAACAGTTATCTCTGTTTATATTCTCTGTAAATATACTTTCCTGATATATGCCACAATAATAGCTCCTAATTTTTCCCTTTCACTGGATTTACACTTTTGTAAGTGCATTGCCTTCATCAGTGGGCCTCCCAAATTGCCTCAGGCTACATGAGAGCAGCTCATACCAGCCCAGTGTAAAGGAACATATTTCCACTACAACTACTGCAAACATAATCATGTTTCACTCCTACTTGCAAATTCCTGGAGCTCCTTTGTGTCACTTTTGATTTCTGAACCCTTCCAAATTTACTTGCATTCCTTCTCATAATTTCATTGGAACCCATCACTGCTTGTAGCAGAGCACAACAATGTATATTTTCTGAATGATGGGAAATATAACCATCACATATCCCCGTACAAACCCTGAGCAGTCCACCTTGACCCTGCAAAGCCCTTAGCTGAATTTTCTCCAGAGCAGTTGTTTTTAGGTTATTGGACTGAATCCCATTGATTCTGGCTACCAGTAGACCAGAGCTTTGGCTACCCAAGCACCTCTTCCTTACCTCATTAATTACTTATTTTCTGGTTTCCCATTTAAAGCTCACACAAAAGCAGCCTCTGGGACATGGGTCCATTACAGCTGCATCCCATAAACACCAGGACATACCTGTCATGCCCTATGAGGTGCAAGCAGGGATCAGGCTGTGCATAGAGGTCACAGTGAAGGGGTGTCTGGGATGCAGCAGTACCTGAGCACAGTGAGCTCAGGTACTCTCTGCTACCTCTCATTACCTTCTCCAGTTTCCCAGAGCTATGGCCACTCCATTCTCTGCCTAGTGCCTAAATGATACAACTGTCTGTCAGTACCATAGCACCAAGGTTAATAGTTCTATTCACAGCATGGGTATTTTTCTCAGTTCACATCAAAAGTGATATGTCCTGAAGAGCTGGTCATGTATTCCTTCATGCTGTAAATGCCTCCCCACCTCCTGACTTCACTGGGAAACTTAACTGAACAAGCAATGTGACACAAGAGTTTCAGTGTCAGCTTCAAGAGTCAGGAAAATTTAAAAAATGCTCTAATTCATTTTAGTGGCCCTTAGACAGTAAACTTTTAATTACTTCTATGATTATATCATGTAGATTTTCATAGCTTACAAGCAAGAGCCATTTATGCTGGGAAAGACCACTGATACTTTCTGTGTTTCTCTCCATGTTATCTAGCCTTACTAAAATTATAGTTGCTATTCTCTGCCTCTGAAATAAACTGAATATTTAAACAATATAATTCTATTCTTAAATTTTGACTAATAATATAATAATGGCCAGTCTTCGCGAGCGAAGATTTGGGAAAGGTCATTAACCCTTCGANAAAAAAAAAAAAAAAAAAAGTAGAGACCTGAAAAATGCCAAGGGAAAAACCAGCATGTTTAGAGCAGGGGAGAATAAAGAGTAAGCTGACAGACCAGACAAGAAAAATGGATCAGTCAAACACAGGAATTAAAAGAAGAGTAAAACCCAGAGAACTCTGTGAGTTTAACATACCTTTTAAAGTGTCTAGCTTGACAGAACCTTAGGAGAAAAAGATTACTTCAGTAAGAAATACTGACGACCCTTCCTGCTGCACAAGGAGTCCAACAAGGAGGCCTTGGCATGTTGGACCTGGGAGGGACCTCTGAACAGGCCTGGGAATGACATAAAGAAAGGCACAGGCTTAGATTAAAAAAACTGCATAGTACTAGCCTGAAAATCCCAAACCAGACCATTACAATACAGATAGAAAGACAGATAGATCAGAAACTGCAGATAAACAGGAACTGATTTCATTAAATAAGCACTCAGCCTATGATAAGCAGGATATTGCTTGGGCAAACAGTGCACAAGCAAAACCTTTTCAAGAACAACTATATTCAACAGTTATCTCTGTTTATATTCTCTGTAAATATACTTTCCTGATATATGTCACAATAATAGCTCCTAATTTTTCCCTTTCACTGGATTTACACTTTTGCAAGTGCATTGCCTTCATCAGTGGGCCTCCCAAATTGCCTCAGGCTACATGAGAGCAGCTCATACCAGCCCAGTGTAAAGGAACATATTTCCACTACAACTACTGCAAACATAATCATGTTTCACTCCTACTTGCAAATTCCTGGAGCTCCTTTGTGTCACTTTTGATTTCTGAACCCTTCCAAATTTACTTGCATTCCTTCTCATAATTTCATTGGAACCCATCACTGCTTGTAGCAGAGCACAACAATGTATATTTTCTGAATGATGGGAAATATAACCATCACATATCCCCGTACAAACCCTGAGCAGTCCACCTTGACCCTGCAAAGCCCTTAGCTGAATTTTCTCCAGAGCAGTTGTTTTTAGGTTATTGGACTGAATCCCATTGATTCTGGCTACCAGTAGACCAGAGCTTTGGCTACCCAAGCACCTCTTCCTTACCTCATTAATTACTTATTTTCTGGTTTCCCATTTAAAGCTCACACAAAAGCAGCCTCTGGGACATGGGTCCATTACAGCTGCATCCCATAAACACCAGGACATACCTGTCATGCCCTATGAGGTGCAAGCAGGGATCAGGCTGTGCATAGAGGTCACAGTGAAGGGGTGTCTGGGATGCAGCAGTACCTGAGCACAGTGAGCTCAGGTACTCTCTGCTACCTCTCATTACCTTCTCCAGTTTCCCAGAGCTATGGCCACTCCATTCTCTGCCTAGTGCCTAAATGATACAACTGTCTGTCAGTACCATAGCACCAAGGTTAATAGTTCTATTCACAGCATGGGTATTTTTCTCAGTTCACATCAAAAGTGATATGTCCTGAAGAGCTGGTCATGTATTCCTTCATGCTGTAAATGCCTCCCCACCTCCTGACTTCACTGGGAAACTTAACTGAACAAGCAATGTGACACAAGAGTTTCAGTGTCAGCTTCAAGAGTCAGGAAAATTTAAAAAATGCTCTAATTCATTTTAGTGGCCCTTAGACAGTAAACTTTTAATTACTTCTATGATTATATCATGTAGATTTTCATAGCTTACAAGCAAGAGCCATTTATGCTGGGAAAGACCACTGATACTTTCTGTGTTTCTCTCCATGTTATCTAGCCTTACTAAAATTATAGTTGCTATTCTCTGCCTCTGAAATAAACTGAATATTTAAACAATGTAATTCTATTCTTAAATTTTGACTGAGTTCAGGTTAATTAATCTTCTTCCATTCCCTATCTCTCCTTGGCCTGAGAAAGCCTATACACAATACTATTTGTATTTCACAGATATAGGAAGCTGTGGAAGAACAGCATGAAGAAGAAAGAACTATATAACAAAAATTTCACTGTTTGTTGAGAAAAGGAGGATCAGGAGTGACCTTATTGCTCTCTACAACTACCTGAAAGGAGGTTGTAGCCAGGTAGGGTTGGCCTCTTCTCCCAGGCAGCTAGCTACAGAATTAAGCTATACCAGGGGAGGTTTAGGTTGGATATTAGGAGGAATTTCTTCACAGAAAAGGTGATTAGACATCAGAATGGACTTCCCACGGTGGTGGTGGATTCACCATCCCTGGAGGTGTTTAAGGAAAGATCAGAAGTGGCACTTGCTGCCATGGTCTTGTTGACAGGGTGGTGTTGGGTCACAGGTTGATGATCTCAGAGGTCTTTTCCAACCTAATTGATTCTGCAATTCTGTAAAAGGATGATCACATGGTTGTGTACAAAGGCAGGAGGAAATCTGGTAGACATTTGTCAATATGATGTAGCTGTGTTTAAATAAAGGACCAGGAAAAAATATTAAAAATAGTTATGTTGACACTATGAATTTATGCTTAGCTCTAAACTAAATGTCACTTTGGTGAGAAGTAACAAAGTTGAGTTCATGGTAAAGTCATGAAAAATGTGAGCCTTTGCTGGACAGGATGGCAACTATATTGGTCTTCTGAATTTACTGTACTGTCATAGCCATGTCTGGGGCTGAATTGGTTGGGCCAGAGCTGAGATGGATATCCACCATTCCATGGCTGTGCCTTCTAAACAGCCCTCAGTTTACTGAAGTGATTCCTAGCACAAATTAAGCATGAGCTGGGCCTTTTCCTCTTATCTGTGAATGGCAGAAGCAGTGGGTAATAGGAAATGCCTATGCTTCTCTTGAGGAAGTATTTAACTGAGGAGACACCAGGCACTGCGCAGAGGTACAGTGAAAAAACTGCAGGTGCAAAGCTGCTTTCTCACTTCCTGAGCAAGGTGAAAGGTCTTTGTATAACTTCTTTTTAAAATGATTATGCACATAAACTATGAATAAATTAGGAATAAGTTAGCAACAGACTAACCAGGATATGCTCAGAAAGACCTTATTAAAAAGTCCATGCATATGGCACTTCAAAAATGAAAAATCCATTGTTGCCACCTTTTGAAATTCCTTTTTGAATACAGTCCTAAATATAAGTGCTTATTGTTAACTTGAAAAAAAATCCACAAACCCAAACCAACAAAGAGCTGAATGAGAATAGAAGAGAGTTTGAGAGCACAGTTCTCACTTGCACTACCCCATCTTGCTAGCTGGATGGAGGTGTCAAATGTAAAGGATAAAGGTGGAAACAGGAAGGGACATTTTCCAGAAGCTAGTAATGGTAGTGGCACTTAATCTGTAGGCATTAACTACACACAAAAGAGCTAATGTGTGGATTTTATGAGGTCTGAAAACTCTGAAAAGCTGGAACTTCTAAGAGGGGTGGGGGGGCCAGGCGTAGCCCTTTAGCATTGGAGCCATTATTTGTTTCAGGCTGAGCATGCAAAAACTGAGCCCTCCTAAATCTGTGTGCAATCCTGAAAATGCTGACTTTCACTTTTTAACCCTCTGCTAATTTGCCAAAGTAATTTCTCATTTCCCAGCTCCCTATACCTGCAGAATGTACCATGCTAGATGACTGCAGCATCTCTAGAGGAAATACCTTTTTCACATACAGAAACAAATGCTATTGAGCTGACAGACTGAAAGGAAAGAGTTCACTTTATGCCTAGAGACACCTGCCTTGGGCATCACGTCCCTGACATTCAGCTTTCACTGCCTGTGGCTTTGCCCCTCCTGGGCAGTTATCAGCCATCCTCTATTCTCATATTCCATATATCTGCCAACAGATGTAGCAAAATTAAACCCCATCTGTTGGATAATGTCTTGAGTTTCATGTCCTATTTAGCTCTCTTTGGCCTACAGTCTCCAAAGACAGATTTAAACTGCTGGTTTGCCTACGGCTTCAAGCAGAAATACACACGTGTGTGTGTGTGTCTGTGTGTCTGTGTGTGTGTGTGTCTGTGTGTCTGTGTGTGTGTGTCTTCCTCTGAAGTAATTTTCTTTGTCCCCTGTTTACAACAACCAGGCACTTCAGCACAAACTGTTTTTGACAGGGGAATAATGTGTGTACTGTGTGGGAATATTTAGCACAAAAGATGTTCACTTTACTGGAATTTGCATAGGAAAACTCTGCCCAGAGTCCTGACTGGGGAGCCTCCTCTGATCTGCAGTAAGTGCAAATGGACAAACAAGTTATTTCCATTACTCAAGACACTGTGCAGAATTTGTACAATTTCAAAGCCAGCTGGAAGGAGGAGTTTTACAAAGCCTTGGGGCAAGGTACTCAGAGATGTTGTGAAATGCCAAAAGGATTTCTCAGTGGGCAAAATAAAGGTTATGTTTTAATAGAGGAGAAAGATCTCAGATAATCCAGAGAGATCTTAAGGTTTCCTCTCACTGCTCACCACGTGATGCTACCAAAACATATGTTTTGTTATCTCTCTGGAGACATGAATTAATGCTGTATTTGGCTGTCAATTGGTTTCTATTGGTTTTCTTCTCTTCAGCAATCACTGTCCTAGAGATGTCTCAATTCTCACACAGGAAAGAATGTTTTTACTGATAAAATTCCCCTAGGAACAACACCAAGTAGCATTCAATTCATCCAAAAATTATGCAGGCATGTTATCAAATTATTAGCTATTTGGACAATGATGAATCTACATATAATCGGGTTTGTTTGCTTGTTGGGTCTTTTTTCCCTTTTTTTGGATTTCAAGAAGCAAATCCCATTTCCCTTCAGGCTTCTCTGCAGGCCATAAGAAGATCTCTCCTCTGCCTCTACCCCACAGCACACTCATCCCTATCCTGGAAGCTGTCACTCAGCTGGCCAAGTGAGACAACAGCCATGGAACCAGTCTTACTGGGCTGTGAACAAAGAATTTTTTCTATTTGTATTAGTGGTGCTAAGCAAATGTTAGTATTTTCCTGATAAGAGCAGTTCTTAGTAATGAAAGAAATCATGTGGTAGGCATGAATGTCGGTGTGCCATTAATCCATTGAATGGGCAAACTGAAGAGACAGTTCAGGGGCCAGTGCCTGACTATTCCTTGCTCTGCCAGAGCAGATTTCTTCCCTATTTGAAAGAAATTATATCTATTCCAAAAGATAATGCAATTGCTTGGTTTTCTGTCTCTCTGTGACCCAGCTTGAAATTCATAAAGAAAAGATTCCCTGAAGTTATTTAATATAAGTGGTTCTGAGAAAGCCGGAAATCAAATACAATAGGTATTTTCTGGTACCAAAATGTTTCTGTGGATGTGGAAAAGGATTAGATGATCTTGTTAGCTCCCTGCCAGACCATGCCCTATGATTATATGCAATCAAAAAAAC